GGGGGGGGGGGGGGGGGGGGGGGCATGGCACAGCACGGCGACAATCTGTACTGTAGCTGAGCAGAACGCATGGTAATGTGTAGAGGAACTGCGACCCAGGTCAGTTTTCATTCAGCATGCTTCAGTGGTCTGCTGGTGGTTGGAGAGAAAACAAAACAAAAAAACAAACAYGGAGATTCACTCTAGACTCCGAAAAACAAGGCTTTTGTAAGTAAAGTACATTACTTCACTTAAAACACAACAACTCAAGGCATTTTTCCTCTGCAAAGTCCGCTGAACAGTTCAAACACAAACTGAAAAATGACCCAAGATGCTGAACAAAACCAAGCAGGGAGCTTGTGCTCTGCAGTTGACGCTCTGTTGTGCTTTGTCTCCGCAAACCCAACCTGGACATTTCAACCGCACAATCTTAATTGTTACAGCTGAACTGGACTCTTATGTTATGAATGAGCTTTGTATATTTTTTTGCTTTTGTTCTTTTTTTTTTTTTCTTTTTTTTTTTTAAATTCCATGATTACACGATTAAGATGTAACTACTTAAATATAAATGAAAAGTGTAAATCTAAGCGATTTGCTGACACATGCCGCCAATCCTCCAGCACAGACCAACCAAACCATATAAAATAAATAAAATGCAATCACACAATTCAAGCTAACTAGAATATATTAATATAGATCTTCTGTCATACGCTCATTAAAACAAAAAGGAAATAAAAGAGAATTCAATCACGCAAGTTAAGTCAAGGTTCTCCGTCGACCTCACCCTTCCCGATCAGAAAATATCCATGCACCTAATTTCCTTACAAGCTGATATAGAGAGACATCGGAAAAAATGCTGAGCCTTTGAAGTTCAATGTGTCATAACCCATAGATTAAAAACAAAATCTAAATCTATGAAATAGGAGTTTAACAGAATTTGTTTAAGAAAGAGTTTAAATTTTCTAAAGCCCTTAAAAAAAGTCCAATATGTGAAATTATTATCTTCTAATTTAGACCCTTTTGGTATATTCCTGTCATTGTTGGGCTGTGGCACATTTCATGCTTAAATAAATTTAACTACCTACATGTGTTGGACAAAAATTCAATTCACAATGTCTTCAAACTGAGAGAAAAAAGGGGGTTAAAATAAAATGGCTTCCCTCCCCACAGCAACACAAATGTCCACCAGGCCTTTACTGCTTTCTCTCTGACTCCCAAACACTTTCACTTTCACACTCTCTCACTCACACACACACACACACACACGCACGCACACACACACACAACTACAGAGAGAGGGAGAAGCTAGTAAGGGAAATGTCCTGACTTTTTGCTGCGACCCACCCAGCCCGCCCGCCCGCCTCACACTACCATGAACAAATGAAGCCATGATCTCAGGTGTTTCCATCCAAGTTGCTATTCTTCAAATTCACAAAGTCAGAGAGACCTTTCATTGCACTTTAGTCCTCATAACTTCTGAATTTTCTCAGCCACGACAATGGGGTTCTCCTTGCGTATGCGCGCAGCAGCTGCACTTCGGTAATCGTATGGACAGTCGTGTTTGTCAGAGTAACGATGAATGGCACAGAACAGGTTACCGCAGCGACAGTCAAAACCTAAAGTGAGGAGGAAAAACAAACAAACAAACAAACAAATAAAAAACCCAGTCAAACAGGCAAATTATGTGAAAAACAGTTACAATGCTAACTGCTGCATACTGGTTGTTGTACTGGTGTCTGCAAACTGAGATTTGTTGGCTTCACCTGTAATAAAAGCCTTATCTGAGTCAATTATCCAACAGTAAATATTTAATATTAAATCCAATGAACTACAATGGCAATATTTAGATTTATACACAAATGTGTGGCTGTGACAAACAAAACTAAGACATGATTATCGTATATGTTAGATGAAGGGTCTGATGTTATGAGTTCCAGGTAAGCAAAGCTGTGATTTACACACCCATGAATCACAGCGTCCATTCACACGAGCACAATTAGTGTGAAAGTGTTCAAAATATTTTCCTTACTCACCAGTAAGGCCCACTTTCTTACGGCAAGAAAAGCAGCGGTTTATTTTCTTGTTTTTATCGGGAGTTAGGTCACCATCAGAAGAAGCTTGTGCTCCCTCCCCCACAGACTCTGAGGTCAGAAAAAAAAAGTAGAACAGAGAACAAAAAAATATTAAGTTAAAGATGAACAGATCAAACGGCAAAAGTATTCTTTGATTCAACAGCAGTAATATAATTTATTGTGATAGACATGTGATCATTATCAATGGAAAATTTGTCCAATTCAATTTAATGTTGACAATTTCACCGAACGCCGATTCAGAACTGCATGGCATTCTGGGGAATGCAGGCAGAGGAAAGACTTTAGCTGCTCCACCTGTTACAGGGCAAGGCTGGTGGCATCGACTAACTCACTCACTCTTCGGTAAACTACAACCTGTTGAGTAACATGCGCAGCAGCAGTTTCATGTTTCACCACCAAACCTCATAATTTCTTTTAAAAAAAAGAGCGACGTGTGAAAGGAGAAAATGAGTGCAACAGCTCGAGAGGAAATTATGGATAAAAGAGGAAAGGTCACATCACCAGTTTATTAATCAGCATTTTTTTCTCCTGATCCTTACGTCAAACAGATAAACAAAAGAATAGCAAAATAATTATCTTTATCGACTGATATGAAACGCTTATACCGGGAAATATTTTTCAGCCACATGGCCCAGACCTAGCTGAACTGTAAACGGATCACCTGGTGGTGAGAAAAACTGGAGAGCAGTGTTGAAGTACTCGAGACCGATTTTGGTCAAATCATAAATAATATATTTGTAAAAAGCAACATCCAGGAGAAATTCAGCAGTGCTACACTTTCAGAGACGGTGGAGACTACCGTATTTTTCGGACTATAAGCCACGACTTTTTTTCCTGAACTTTGAACCATGCGGCTTATAGTCCGGTGCGACTTATACATGGATTTTTTTCTTCAGCCACCAGGGGGCTCTTATGCTGCATTTGCTTCAACCACTCGCTTCAAAAAAAGAAAGGAAAAAAAACTTTGGAGCTTAATCCAGGACCAGTTTGTGGATAAACGTCGAGTGAAGAGCCGCRGACTTTTTTTTCAGCATTGCACTCCCCAGGGAAGGAGTGACGTATGCTGGAGCGGGAGGGCTTTCCCAGCAGCTAGGCTTTGGGTTTCTCGGGGGAACTATGAAAGGTCAGTGAGAAAACGAACGCCGAACAATCACGTGACGGCGCGTCGACCGGTCGACAACCGAGCGACCATTCTGCCAGCTTAGCCGGAGGTGTGGCGCCATTTTGTTTTAGCTAGTAGCAGACACGACACGACGGATCTTCGACAGACACGATATTGGACAGTATGCGGGCCCACATCACGGATTCGGTGAAAGCAGCCATCAAGAAAACAAACTCAATTCCTGCTGTTATTCCTGGAGGTACAACAAAGTTTTTGCAACCCCTGGACATCAGTGTGAATCGTGCATTTAAAGCAGCACTCAGGACTGAATGGGAGGCTTGGATGACTGACGGGGATAAATCATTCACAAAAACTGGCCGAATGCGAAGAGCGTCATTTCCTGATGTCTGCCAGTGGATCCTAACAGTGTGGAGCAGAGTGAATGAGTCCACCATCACCAATGGGTTCTGAAAGGCTGGACTGCTACGTGAAGAGGACACCACAGCTTCAGAGCCAGCATTACCCCGGGAGGACAGCGACACAGAAAGCAACACTGAACAGATACCGCTGTGTGACGCAGCTTTTCTCAGCTTGTTTAACTCCGACACTGAAGAAGAGGACTTTGATGGTTTCAGTGCGCCGGAGGACGATGAGACGTTTTGTTGGACCAGAAACTGTTAAAGAAAACTACCAAAATAAGGTCAGTTAAATGAATCGTATTCCTCTGAACTTTAATTCCTAAAGGTTTGCTTTTTATGTTTTGATGTTGAATTCACTTTTTTGACGACAATTTTGGATGTACTGTTTTTTTTATGTTGGGGGTGCAGCTTATAGTCCGGTGCGGCTTATATGCAAATGTTCGCAGGTTTTTATTTAAAAAAAATGGCAGGTGTGGCTTTTAGTCCGGTGTGGCTTATAGTCCGAAAAATACGGTAGGTCAAACTTTTATCATCACTTAGAAAAGAAGCACCAAGAAAGGTGAACTATGTGTAAGTGATGTTAGCAATCTGCTTCTGTACCAAAACTATTAACTACACCAAGAGATTTAGTCCTTATCTACACATATTAAGTAAGCTACCTGTGTACATAATACTGTATGTTTTAGGGCACTAGTCTTGGTCTCAGCCCCTAAAAGTCTTGGTCTTGTCTCGATACACTCTGGTCTAGACCACAATATTACTGGAAAGGCAAAATGCACTAAAGTGCCTATGAAGGAGGCCCCAATCTAAGAGTTCTTACAGTCCATCCCAGGTAGAACTTTACTCACACACCAAAGTAGGCTAGGGACATGCAGTTCAAAATGGGCCCAAATACTAATGTTGTTGTAAGGAGCTGTAATCCTATGATGCTGCCTGCAGCCCAGGTAAGAAAACAAACAACTCGTTGTTTACCTATGCTGTTGGACGTACCCTCCACCTCTTCTTCCTTAGGCTCTACTCGATCAGAGTCCACGGTCCCCGAGTCTTGGGAGATGCTCATAGCTGTCATTTGTTCAGTTACTGGGCTGGGAGAGCTGGGACTAAAATCACAACAAACAGAAATTAATACACAGCAGAGTACACCTACACAAAAATTACAGAAAGACTTTTTTTTTGCCAGAGAGATTTCCTTTTTGTTAGGCTAAAAACTAAAAGGACATCAGCTTAAATAAAATTGACAATTAGTCTTTGACTAAAGTTAAGCCATTATTACCTATAAAATTAACTGATGAAAGCAAAATCTATAAAAAGTTATTCATCATTTCAATCAAATTACAAACTTATATGTTCAGGGTTTCCCCTACATGCAACCGATCTAAAATAAAATCAAAATAAAAGCCGCCACACCTTCAGAATTAATTATTATTATTATTAATTTTAAATCAGCGTAAAACAGGGGTTGACAGAACCATTGTTTAGGTTGTCCGAGACAACACATTTTCGTTTCGGACAACCAGATCCCACTTCCCGGTTGTCCGCTGGACAATCAAGAAAAAAAGACCTGGATTAAAGTTTTCCACCGCAGGTGTTCGTCATTGTAAAAATAAACTGGAGAAAAAAAATTGTTAAAGTCRTCTAGGGATTAAACTCACGGTTCTTTCACCCAATAATGAGAACCAAAGTCAACATTTTACCCAATCAGAACAGAGCAGGGTGGGGTATGCTGCCTTTTTTCCCCTCTGTCTCTGTGGGTGGGKGGTCAGCCTCACTCAGCTCAGGTGAACACCTCCCAGGAAAGTCCTCAGCATTTCCTTAGCTATTTTCCACCAAGGATTACGTTGCATTTTATATATATTTTATTTCTAAAAGCACCTCGCAGCATTTCCACCGGAACACCGTGTGTCCACGAGCACAACAAAAGCGCGACAGATCACCTGACTGAGGGGCAGYGACTGCAGCAGCTGAACCTCTTTTACGCACCGCAGCCCCGACCTACCCGGGACTTCAGAGTCCACATGTCAACCCCTTCAGACGTTTACGTGTATAATGAGCATCAAAAATCAGTAATTTGTGAAAAAAAAAATTCAGTATTAATCACACGTGGGTGAGGTGAAGGATGCAAGCGGACCGCAGCCGGGGTGGGGTGTGTGTGTGTGTGTGTGTGTGTGTGTGTGTGTGTGTGGTGGGGTCACAGAGTTGTTTGAGTCAGCTTCAGGTGTTTGTAATTAATAATAAATAACTTCTAAACTTAACCAGGTGTTTCAGTGACTTTAAATTACACAATAATTTTAGTGAAGAAAACTGTCAGTTTGGTTAAAAAAATCATTAAAAATAATTTTTCCCCTTCTGCTTTATTTTCTTAAAATAAACATATCAAAGCCCCTCAGTTGAAAACACTAAAATGATAGAAGAGCTGTTTAAAAACCTTTTTCCTCAGAAAGTCTTCAGTCCTAAGAACACTAACCTGTAACTTTAATAAGATCATGTACACAGTTTATTCCTATTTAAGTTAAAATGTTTGACCTGTAAGCAGAAAACTTATGGATGTTGAGTTTTGCTCTCTATTTCAAAGAAGAGGATGAGGAGGAAGTTTTACTCAAGCAGCTCCTGAAACCTGCTGACTGAAAACATTTGTATATAGTACACTTTGTATGCAGGACAATATATCCTACTTATTAAATTATAATTTTATTGAGATTTTTGCTAACAACCAGATTTTGACAACCTGTTGTCCTGTTACCCTCCCACTCCCACGGTTAAAAAAAAATCCTAGGGGAAACCCTGATACTAGTAGTTTTACTTTATTAATCTTATTAATTTTATGCTGAAACCTTTGGGACTTTATGAATGCTGCCAGCAGCCCATCAGTATACCTAGTTGGTTGTTCCTCAGGTGGGGTTCCTGTTACTTCTGTACTGAGTTCTGCTGTTGTGGCCTCCACGCTCACACCGGCTGATCCTGGAGATCCTGATGGTGACGTAGCAGCTGTGAGGCAAAAGAAAAGAAACTCGTCTAAAACATGTTTTATGAAACCTGAAATAAGGTGTAAAGTTATTGCAGGACACTTGTGACTTTTGTTGTACAGAAACAAATTCTTGGCTTTTCCACATTGAAAGAACCACAYCAGACAATCGTATGATGTCTGGTAGTTATTTATCCCCCATCATCCCACCTTTCTCTCCTGGAGGGCTGGACCGGCCCCCTCCCTGTTGTCTCTGCAGGTGTTCCTTGTAGCAGATAGAGCACATGCCATTGGTGCGGGGGTTTCCATAGAAACCACAGCCCATAGTGCAAAGCATTGGCACCTGCGTCTGATTGGTCTCCTGAGCCATGCTTTGACAGAGGGGGAAGGGGGCTGGGAGAGGGTATTTCTGAAAATGTGGCAAAATAGGTTAGCTTAAATCATTAGTTCCCATCTGAATACATTTTGTTTCATGTGTTTGTCTTCCATTCTTCAGATAAAATAACATATCAGCAACGTGACATGAGAACAGAGCTGAATTCTGGATTTATTTGATAAATGAATGAGAACAAAGTGTCTTTTTTTTTTACCTCGTCCATTTTACTAACAATAGAAAAGGCTTGTAACAGAGTTTARCTAGAAAACTACAGCTAAATCTAAGCTTAAAATAAAATGAAAACTATTTTCAAAGTTATGCATAGAGAAAAACTGACTTTAAACAAACTGATGTCAATTAAACTCAGAAAATTTGATATATGCTCGTCTTGTCGCGTACAGTAGTAAGAAGTGTTCAAATCTGTAAGCTCGGTTTTAATGTAAAAGCAGGGTAATGTGTAAACATTAAGTCTAAAAAAACTCGTCAACAGTTCTTCTAAAGGAGTAAAGTGACGGTTTGTAAAAACACAAACTGGTTCAAAATGTTTACAGTTTCTTCCGCAGCAATGTAAGATGTTTCGGTCAGGAAAAAAAGTTACCATAAAAGGAACAAAAAGCAGAAGACGTGTCTGCACAAAAATCTAGTCAAAAACGCAAACAAAACTCTTATTTAACACAATACTTGGCAAACAAAGACACGACATCGTTTAACAYGGAACTGAACAACTTTAACCAATTGTCCCCAGTCAGAAGAAAACCCCCGTCCTGAACAAACATTAACATTAGCAAACAGCCTCATATCCGTTTTATTTGTCTGACACCGCATACCAACGCAAACAACGAGAACAAAACTCGATTAGTGGCWTTCCGTTGTGACAAAATGAACATTATAAACAACTGCGTCGAYGATGCCAAACTAACCGACAAATCTGGGCTTTTAAAGAAGCGAATAAACGCTAACGTTAGCTGATTGACGTTAGCTTGTGGTGCTAGCATGGGCAGCCAACCCAAACTAGCCGCTCTTCGCGGCGAGTTTAAAACCAGTAACACGTAGCAAGGGTCTTCTCACGGTGGTCTAGGATGAAGACGGTACCTGAAATCCGAGCTACCGGTAGCTGTCAACGACCTTCAGCTACAGATTTGGACAAGTTCTGCCCTCAGCAAAGCAAGCGGCCTTCTACCCAGCGCGAGCTGCMGACATTCGAAACAACGACCATGACGTCATCCTCATCGATTCAGCGAGATCAACAAACACAAACAGAAATGGGAATATGACATGCGTTCTGACTTTTAAATTCAAATGGGCCCTTGTTTCATTGTTCCTTTATAAAGTTCTTGGACCACCGAAACATTATGCATAATTTAATTCACTGTGGTGTTCTAAATGTTGTCATCTTCCTTCAAAGGAAAGACTTATCAGCTTTTCATCMTTTCTTCACTGTCAAACAAGAACATTAATAAAACTATTGTTCAAAAGTTTTCTGCATTTTTGAAAATCAACTAGCAATAATTTTGTTGTATAACAAATACCAAACTCATTAACATATATCTCTCAGTTCCCAATTAAGTCATAAAATAGAACTTTCACTTTTTCTTTCTGTACATTACATGCATTTGTACATGTATTGTAATGGTTGTTTAAAATTAAAATGAGGTCATAGCAAAGTTAAATTAAAATAAAACAAYCATCCAGAGTGACACAAACACTGCTGTGTTTTAAGTTTATTGATTTTAAGAAACCCATCAACATACAGATACAAATACTACAAACGAAGTGCACTTTTTTACAGTTGTGGAATGATTTGAATACTGAAGAGAAATCACAAACATGGATTCATCTTTAGGAAATGTCRTACTTTTGGTATAACAGAGATTTTAACTCTAAGGACACACATTCAAATTTACCTGAGTATTTTCATTAAATACTGCATGTAATGTCAATATCTTCTCGGCTCAAGATGTAAAGCATCAAACTGAACAGTAGATTAGTAGTGAAAACAAAACAAAATGTTACAGGAAAAATAGAACAAGTCAAATTGTTTGGGTTAGTCTGCTTTCATGGTCACATCTTCATCTTCTTCGTCAGATTTCTGAGCAACAAAAGGTCCGACCAGCCAGTTGAGCGGAGTGTTGTGCAGYAAATACTCCATGACACCATCCATAGAGTGCTGAACCTAAGACAGGTACACAGCAATAATTCATTTACTACACATGTTTCCACTGTAATTAAAACATTCACTACGGTACTACCCATAACAAAAGAGCTGATTGCGTTCAGTGACGTACTTGTTTTAAATGGTGCCGGCTTCGCTCCAGAAGGTGTGGAGTGATGGTGCTGGCGTTCCCCAGAGAGGACTGCAGTTCTTCAGCAGAATGCCACGCACTGGTCAGCTGGTCCTGGACCGCGGCGGGCAGACCCTGGGCACTTGAAACCACACTGTAGCATGCGGACCTCAGCTGGTCACTCAGACCACGCACCATAGAAAGGGTCCGCCTTTCCAGCTGCTGCAAACACCAAGAGACAAACAGCAGGAAAAAAACTGGTTAAAAAAGCAATGATTGTTTATTTATACCACAGATTAGTGCAAGTTAAAGTGATTTTGTGAATTATAGAGTTGAGAAAATAGAAAAAAAATGTATTTATATTGAATAGAAAGGAGCCAGATAACATTTTATTTAAAAGGCAGGTTAAGAAAATGGATTAGGAAAGAATGTCAGCGTTTGGAAACAAAATTTCTCACATTTCAGTTTTAAAAACAGTATCTAAGATCMGTCCTATCCTGTATGTGTTCTGTTCTGTGCCCAGCTCTGACCTCAGAGTCACCTTTGGACCCATCTGGTTCTGACTCAGTCTGTCCTTCTCCTTCTCCTTCCCATTTCTGTTTCCACTCGGTCCAGCGCTGCAGCAGCTGCTCGGAGGATTCTGCGATCTGGTGACTGGCCGTACCCAGACTGTCACGGGTGAGCTCCAGCAGGTCGAAGGTGCTGGTAATCTGAGCCACCGCAGCATAGGTGGCACCCCTGGCTCGCCGCGCCCTCACCAGGGACTGCTCCAGCGCTCGCTCCTGCACCTTGACAGATAGTTTCCCCAAACGCACAAAGTAACTGGGGCTGGCCGAGGAAGTGGCCACCTCAGAGCTGGCCRGTTCAGCCACAGCAGCTGCAAAAACAAAACAGTACTTTCACCGTTTGAACGAACAAYGTTATAAATTTGACTTTTTYCTTCTTAATCTGCTGTTTGATTTTGATGGTGTGCTTTAAATTAGGTCTCGTTGTGGAATGTTCATTCTAAATGACGTGTATCAAACTCAAGGTCCATGGGCAGAAACCGGCCCTCGTTAACCTTCCATTCGGCCCGAAAGATAACACTTTAAATGTAAAATAGTTTTAGTGTTTGCATCTCTGTATTTAGAGCAGTCGTCTCACAGCAGTTTGCCAGCTTTCAAGCCAAGAAAATTAGGTCTGAATTTTTCAGTAAWCTTTGATTTTGGTGTAGAAAGAACAGAGAATCAACTTCAATTTGATTTTTCTGCTTTTTCTTATTATTTTGAAGTCACGTATTTATTTTTAGTGAGCGTTTATTTTTTTAACTTACTTATTGGATTGTGATAAAATGTATCGCTAAGAAATAATAAAAGGTAGAGCGTAAATATGATGTATCTTTCTAAATATAATATTTTTCTTTATTCATTTGGGTATGTATGTTCCAAATGCTACATATTATATAATTTTGAAACAGAAAATTTGTATAGTATTAATTTGTTAGGGCTAACCCATTTAAATAAATATTGACAGAGACTGAACCTAGGCTTGGACTAAGTTTTCAATTTTGGCCCCTTATGTATTATTTGCATTGTGTTATGCGTCATCTGCGGAGCCCGCAAGGAGACACGGGAGATTATTTTTCTTTTGCGTTCCCTCGCAAAAGTAGTTTATCATTGTTGTGCCTGCCGGTTTATTAACAAACTCACATGTTCACCATTAGCGAGTTAGCCTAYTGCTTTAATTCAGCTTCAGAATGAATATATCACACAGCCACGCATGGAAGTATGTCATATGCCGATATTTTAACACAGTGCAGCCACGCAACATCAATGTCAATTCTTGTGGCGACACATCCTGTTTTGGTAACCGGATATTTCAAAATAAAAGTCTGATTTAATTCAGTTCATATTCAAAACAAACTTTTGCGTGGGAAYGCAAAACAATTTTGCGAGGTAACGCAAAGGTATTGCGTGGGAAAGCAAAAGGAAAAAAAATCCCCCAAGTCCCCTCGCGGGCTCCATAGTTATCAGCTCAACCCCAAACAAAACAAAACAAAAACAAAAAAAAGTTTGGTTTTCATTGAACATTTTTAAAATTGTAATTATTACGCATTCAGGTTCACATTAAATCAATGATATACTTAGTTTGGCTTCAGCTACCCCATGTTTTTAAGTGGATTCACTTTTGTTACGAATATGATGAATTTTATTTTATGGGGTTTGCATTTTAAGTCTTTCCTAATGTTGTTTTTGACTGTTCATTAGAGATAATACTCTGCTTCTCAACAAGGAGGACATAATAATAAAGGTTCGACATGTTTGTTTGAAACTTAAGCATAAAGCTATGACTATAGTTTTTCTCCACAATAATTTATGAGACATGTTTATTACATTGGTTGGTATATTGTGTGTGTGTGTGTATATATATGCGCAGATTATTATTATTWTTTTTYAATAGCCCACAATCAGTGAATGTCCCTTTGGGCTTCATTGCTATTTTAGAGTATGACAGGTTTTCACAATAACATGACATCACTGTAGCAGGTGTCAAAGCTGTGAGTGTTGGAAATTGTTTGTGATATTCAGGCCAAGTAAACAGAAGGCAAGTTCATTTAAATGTGCTGTCGTTCTCTCTATGAATAGCACCTAACCATTCAGGTCTTCTGTTAGTTCCATCACAGCCATTCTTTCAGAACACTCCCATCTACCTCTCAGGAGTAAACAGCTGCCTGGTTTTCATTTATTTATCGACTAATAAAGSTTTCCTTATTTGGTGCGTATACTGACCGAGCTCTTTCTCAGAGAGTGGCAGGTTCTGGTCAACCCAGTCCTCGGATCGGCTGAGGGCCAGGCCCATCCCACTGCTGACCATCTGGCCCATCCTGGTGCCCATGACAGTGTTGATGCCTCCGCTGACCGCTGCCCGGGTCAGCTCGACACCACCCATCACAGCCCCCATCACGGCATCTTTGGCTCCTGCCACAGACTGGTACACCATCCCCACAGTGTCTGACACCACCTGAGGGAGGGGTGAGGCCAAGAGAATAAGTGCTGATGTGGTTTTTTTCCCCTTCTATGTAGCCCTTATTTTATCATTAAATAAGGTTTGTGGCAACAAGATTAATAACTGAAACCATGTGTGTAATAAAGAGGTAAATAGTGCAATTTAGATAAGCTCATAAGCAAAAAAAGGCAAAAGTTGCATTTTTTTTCCTTTAGTACACTGCAAAAGCACATTGAGTTTAACCTTATCTGCTGGTTGGTGAAGAATTGGCAGCTTCTCTTCCATTTTATCCAGTCCTATTAAGGCGTACTCATTCACTGCTGCAACTGAAAAAAATAAAAACAGGAACAAACTTAAAATGTAGAAATAATAAGATTCCATATGAAAGCATTTGCAATTAAATTATGTACAACTTAACAAAAACGGTTCTTGTTTTGCATTTATGGCTCAGTTTCAAAGAAAGGTCTGGTAAATTACGTGCAATGATCCKTTTCTTTTCTTTTACTTTTCCTAACCCTTAGGTAACAAGCAGACTTTATGCTCATTTCACACCTTTTTTAATTTTGCAACAGGCTTGCAATTGTCTTTAATAGGACATTTCAGAGTTGGACATTTGTGTACTRCGATTGCATGCATACAGTATTTCATCACATTTTGCTGAGAGAAGAAGAACCTACGCTGTGGTTCAATCATGTCCAGAATGGGCTTGGACCCCGTGCTGGCAGCAGCTCCCAGGGTTCGGACCCCACTCTCGGCGACATCCATCACCCCCTTCAGCAAAGGCACACTGTCTTTGGTGCTAGTGTAGGCACTGGAAACTGCCCCGCAGGCCGAACTGACCAACGGCAGGTTTGTCACTCGTGAAACAACAGTCTAGGACAAGAATGCAACCATCATAAACACTTAACACAACCGCGCGTGTATGTGTGTGTGTGTGTGTGTGTTGTACATCACTCTTAAGAATCAAAATTACATTTAGATTTATTACTCTTGATTTGACCAAGAATAAGAATTATCAGACATGTCAAATGAAGTGAGAAAATGTGTTAGATGTGTGCTTCTTCACCTGCTGCTCTTCATTAGTCCCTTCTGTTGCTGCAGCTCCGGTCTCATTAGTCTTCTCGTTGTCTGCCATTGTGACTGCTAGACTCAATCTCTAACATGAAACACAGTCAGTMAGAAAATGAGATTCACCTCTATTTGCTTTGAGTGCATGATGAAACACAGCTTCCTCCCTGGAAGTCTTTGGCAAAAAAAAAAAGTTAAATATACTTTATTTTGCAGGAATCGCTGGCCTGTCACACGGTTTAACGTTCACAGAAAGGAAACGTGGCCATGTTAAATTCATTTGTCTACACTATGATGCAAAGAGGATGGAATTCATTTAAAAAACAGCGTGGTGCTACCATGCAAGGTCTACATGTGAGAATTGAAATATTGGGAATGTATTGCTTGTTTTRTTGACTTTGAACAGCTCTGCAGTTGTATTTAAAAATGATCACACATCTTTAAAAYGGCCCAAACATCTAGAAAAAGTTGTAGAAGTTGGCAAATTAGGATTGAGGTAAATCAAGGGTGAATTACATATCAGAATGTGAAAATGATAATCTATCAAAATAACATCATGTTTATGGCAATTTATTTAATCATTCTTTTGGCAACTCCACAATTAAAACTACATTTAAGTCTATTAATAATCCATGTTGTACAAGAAAGTCAAACAAAAAAATCAGATCCGGTCTATTTCTTCAAAGCAGTTCCTCACCATTGTCATGAAACATCAGGAAAATTTGTTTCTTATCCTCATGATAAAAAGGTTGGTAACTATGATTAAAACCTAAAATGAAATTGATGGGAAAAAAAGCTAGTGAATTGATTTTCTGCATAAGAGGTTTTAAATCCAAATTACATGTTGGAATCTGAGTAAAAAACCATGAATAATGGCAGCATCTGTAAACCCACAGAGAATTATTGCTGATGATGGATTGTTCACAAGCTCATGTGAAGTAAAGCAGACAAAGAGGACTTCTGATGTCRTTTATCTACATATAAAGTAGCACATCATAATACTGCAGTTCTAATGCTATAAAAAGGTTCCAAATGAAAACCAGAACAAGAGAAATTACTCAAATGGACAACTCTGAAAAAAGAA